TTTTCGTGAATGGGTCTATTGCTAGTAAAGTTTGGTCTTACTTCTTTAATGTGGTTGAAATGGGTGTTTTTAATGCTAACTTAGATTTGGCTGGGATCCTAAAACTTTGGTTTACAGATGGCAAAGGTCATATCAATAATATTCTTCCTATTGTGATCATTTGGTATCTCTGGAATAGTAGAAATGAGGCTAAACACTTGGGTATTAAGATGAATTCTTATGACATTATATCCAAAGTGAGGTTTAAAATTCTACAGCTGAAAGCTATCAATCTCATTTCTATTAAGCACTTTACTAACAGCCATTCTTTGGCTGATCACTTTGGGGTTCATAATGAGGGCATTATAATTAATAGGGATTCTATTGTGAAGTGGTCTAAACCATATGATCCTTATGTCAAGCTGAATACAGACGGGTCTGTTCATGCTACTAAAGCTGGAATGGGTGGTATTATCAGGAATTCTCAAGTAAATCCTATTGCAATTTTCTCGGGCCCTCTATCTGTTTGTTCTGTTTTAACCTCTGAGCTGATTGGTTTGTACCATGGTTTACAAATTTGTTTGAGGTTGGGGTTACAGAATGTTAACATAGAGGTTGATTCTACTCTTCTTATTCATATTTTTTCTAAGAATGAAGTTTGTTTCCCTCAGGATTTTTACACTATCAGAAAAATTAAAATGGCTCTCTCCTTACTTAATTTTACTATCTCCCATATTTATCGTGAAGGTAATGAGTGTGCGGATTGGCTTGCTAACTTCGGTGCTGAGAGTGAGAATTTTCTGGAACATTTGGTGTATGAGATTCCAGTTCCTCTTAAAGGCATGGTTATTGTTGACCTTGATTTTGTCAAACCCATGGGCATGGTGGACTGAGTTGACCAAGTCAACCTTCGACTTGGTCAACCCAAGTCTTAATGGGTCAAAATTGATCCATTAGGCCCATTAATAGCCCAAATCGATTTAAATCCAATTAAAACTACTTCATGGCTCAATCCTCATGCCTTTTTGACCTAATTGACTGATTTGACTAAGTCAAATGTTGACTTAGTCAAATTCGGCCATTAATAGGTCATAATCACCTATTTTCATGAAATTAATAGCCCGTTAATTGCATTAAAGCCTCCCCTTCGTTTTGAATTCAAAACCATGGCCTCCTAGCTCTATTTCCCTCCCAAAATAGTTGGTGATTAGATCTAGGCCGTTCAAGATAGGTTAAGGGATTTAAATAGAAGAAAATTAGGTCTTTAGTGGGGGATCTTTTTGCCCTTTCTCTCTCTCAAGGCAATCTCAGGCTCTGAGATTTTGTGAGAGTGCTCCCACGACCTCCTATCACCTTTCCCGACCAAAGCTAGCGGCCAGAAGCGAGGCTCCAGCGAAACCGAGCCCATTTCCTTTCCAGGAAAAATCCCGATCGATCCAAGGCGTTTCAGGACTTGAGTTCAACATGAGACTTGTGATTGGAGATCCCACGAGTCCAACGAACCCAAGATCTCC